AATACTATACATATTGTTAATTTTCCAATGATGTCTTCAGTTCTTTAATTGAAATGTGCATTGCTAACAGTAGAGCTTATTTCAGCCAACAGACTGCTTTAATGTTTAAAACATCTTGTCAATAGAAAAAGTTTGTTACATATTGTGTAACTTGTTACACTTGTCCAATTGCAGTGGTTGAATGTAGTAAGATTTTTTGTCTAGAAATATATTTTTAGTTTTATAATACACAACTCATCCATCTTGGCAAAACAGCTCCTAACTTGGCTTGTTACATTTTTACTGAAAAAAATAACTTTTCTTACAGTTTAATCATCAGAATGAAGGTGATAAAGGAATGTACAATAATAGAATGTTTTACCAAGTGTCATCAACGATGAAGCCAGCCTCCGTGTCATCTTATTCAGCGAAGTCAGTGGAAGGTAATATCATTGAACATTTCATATCATAAATGTAATGTGTCTTTTTTAGTTCCAGTTTGGACAAGATCTAAAAACCAGTATATATGGAATTACCTCTGTGTATCTATCTGTAAGAGCATCTCCAGTTGTATCTTGCGCATGCCTGCACCAATCACTTTCAAACACATACATCTTACATTTTTTGGATTAGATGTTTTCCTTTGATGATCAAGTTCCAAATAGCATCAATGTCAATGTTAAAAATGATTACAAATTTAGCAGTTCCATCATTATGAATGCCTTGCATGCCTTGACTGATAACTATGATATCATGTTACACTTCCTAATATTTGTTTCAAGTTCTTATTTAAAATGGCTGACTCATTTCGGTGTTTAGTTGTTTAGTATAGAACAAGAGGAACTCGCATCATGACTTGTTAGCAAATCATTTATAATTAAAAATACTCAACTGAACGCCTAATTAAATGTCAATAATTAGAACACTGAACTATTTGTATTCATTCACAGAACATCCAACTCTTTCAAGTTATGGGGAACCTAGTCCAGAGTTGGGCCGACCAAAGAATGTCCATTTATCATCAACAGTGAATAATAGTCCAAGAGATAAGACCTTCGCAGGCCGAAGCCAATCACCTTTGAAAAGTAGTACGTATATAATATGATGGTGCAGTGTTATAGCACAAGTACTGTGTATTGGTTTTATTATGATAGAGCAGTGTAGCACTGTACGCACAACCATCATTTTTGTTCTACTGTCGACTTTGTCGAGCTGAGCTTATCATACGAGTGATTGTCTGTCGTCAATTTTTACTTTCACTTATTCCTGAAAACTACGAGCTTTGGGTAGACCTCATTTAGATTTGTTCATTTCATGATCATATCTTTAATTCTGTCATTTTGATAAATATTTTTTTGGTAAGTGACTTCTTGTTGAAAACTGATTGTCTGATTGCTTTGATATTATACATATAGGCAATACAGTGAACCTCTCAGATTTGTTCATTGCGTGGTGATATTTTCTAATGTGTCAACATTTTCTCTTTCAGGTATGTCTGACAGTAGGCCGCCTTCTACATCCCAACAACCTATTCTTAAAACTAGTGCACAGGACCACTATGTTGAACTTACAATATTTCTTAAGCGTCAGGAAAGTGGATTTGGTTTCCGTATTGTTGGTGGCTATGAAGAAGGCTCCCAGGTATTGTATCTTTTGTTGTTCCTTAATTAGGCACTCATTGTACTGCTACATGTATATGACGATACTTGATTTATGATAGCATAATTCCCATCATTCATTGTTAGGCCAGACTTTTATTATTCCTTGCTTCTTGAGTTTTTATAAGGCAATTTTTTTGAGGAGGGCGGGAAAAAAAATAAAATTAATTCTTTTTTTCCATTAGATTTGTGTGATTCTCAAGGAATTGTAAATGAGATCATTGATCGCAGAGAAGAAATGAAATAAAATTTTATTCCATGTATAACCTTGTTTCTCATCTGCGGGAGACTTTTGTACTTTGATCATGATACTCCCACAAAAATGCAACTTGGGTTTGTTATGCGATGGGCGAAAAAAAAAATATACATGTATATATAAATAAGGTTTTTTTAGCAATTTTTTGCACTTACAAGTCGGCGGGTGCGAGAAATTACGCTGAAATAAAATTTTATTTTTATTTCATTTTTGGCTCCTGTTCATTCGGCGGGTTCGCGAAACAAGGGATAATAAAAGTCTGGCCTTAATTCAGACATGTAGACGACATTGTGGTATTTAGGGCTCAAATTTCACAGTAGCCAATGTCCCTCAGAATACCAGAACTTCTTCTTACTAGAAACTTAGAACTTGTGTGTTATATGTTGGATAAAAAAAATAGATTTGCTTCTTGTCACACCTCATCATTACACACATCAATTTTGAACCTGTGCCTTGCTCTTTTTTTTTCTCGCAATTTTGTGTTTCTTGTAGGGGGAAAGTTTGTCTCATACAATAGAATTTGGAAATGTTTGTTTTATCTTTTGTAGGATTTTTTGTAAATCCAAATCAACCTTCAATGCATGTATTTGAAAGCATTATTTAATAAAAATTAAACATATATCTTGTTTTGATATTTAAAAAAATTCAATACATACAAAAAAATTAAAACTGTGTGACCACATCATTTTTTTCAATTTTCTCTAGGATGAGAAGCAAAACCCCTTTATTTGGGGTCTAACTTGAATATTAGTGTTTTTTTCAACATGGTGTAGTCTTGGTAGGCTTCAATGATTTGATTTTTGTTATATTAAAGATATGATTTAAATTTTCAGGTGTCTGTTGGCGCAATTATACCTGGCGGTACTGCTGACGTTGACGGTAGATTGCAATCTGGAGATGAGATTTTATATGTGGATGGGCATTCTGTTGTTGGTGCATCACATCATAAAGTAGTTTCCATGATGGGAAGTGCTGCATTAGCTGGTAGAGTATCATTAGGAGTAAGAAGACGAGTTCCAGCACATACCACAGGTAACTATAATCAAAGGTTGCATGGTATTCAGTAGTTTTTGTATATGGTGGACATGTTTTTAGCATGTGGTCATGTCTTATTATACAAATTAAAAATCTCAATGAAAACTGTATTTTAGTGATTCAGTCTTTGTTTTATTGATGGAACAATTAGTTTTATTTGCATCAGCAATATCCATACCAGAAAAGTGTGTGGATACATGGGCATTGAATATAACTCTCATTTGTATGTTGTAGATAATGATAGGAGTGTCAGTGTCTATCCATATGATGTAACAGTCACCAGAAGACCAGATGAAGGATTTGGATTTGTAATTATATCAGCTACAAACAGATCTGGA